CGCTACATTATCCTTACAATGTCTTTATTCAGTGAAAAAAAATTATTAATTATCAATAAATTAATTAAAAGAAATATTTACATTAGTTATATTGTCTTTATTTTTCTCAAATGTAAAAATTTTTACATTCAAATTCATCAATTGATTATATTCACTACATTATCTATTATCTTTTTTGTGCACTATTTTTCTAATTAAATATCAAAGTTATAATACAAAATAATGTTATATATTTATTTACCAAGTATTTTATTAATACCATGAAAAAATTAAAAATAAAAATAATTAATAAAGCCAACCATATTAACTACTTGAGAGATTTTGTGACAAAGAGAGTATTCAAATCACATAACAAATTGAAGTGAGAACTACCTCGCAATGTCCTTGTTTGACAATCAGCAGTTAGCGGTTAGCGTTAGCGGATTATACTAGCGGATTTGACCATCGAATTTATTTAATTATTAACGTTGGGTAGAAAAAATGACCGCCAAATTATTAAATCAAATGAATGGTTCATATTGTTCAGGTTTTATTTTTTTTAAGGAATAAGGGTCAAATAGGCCATCCAACTGCACACACTAATGCAATTAGACCACTGAACTTAAAAAAACAACAATTAGGCCACTAAACTAATTAATTTCTTTCAATTAGTCTAATTTACAGGTTAGTAACAGGTCACCCAAAAATTTTAAAATAATTTTTTAAAAAGTTATTATTTAAAAATAATAAATTAACATATATTAAAAAAAAAAAACGTTTCTTCGTCTCCGGCGGCCATGGAGACGAAGAAACTTTCTTCGTCCGCCGGAGACGAAGAAACGTTTTTATTTTTAAAATATATTTTAATTAATTATTTTTAAAAAATATTTTAAATTTTTGGGTGACCTGTTACTAACCTGTAAAACCTGTATATTAGACTAATTGAAAGAAATTGGTTAGTTCAATGGCCTAATTGTTGTTTTTTTAGGTTCAGTGGCCTAATTGCATTATTGTGTGCAATTCAATGGCCTATTTGACCCTTATTAATTTTTTTTTTCTTTTAAGATTTTATAATTTATCCTTAATTATATGATTATCCATTTAACTTTTCCGTTAATTCACCGTTAGTCTAATTCTAATATTAAAGTCTAATATAGAATTATAACTACACCATTAATCTAATTCTAATATTAAAGTCTTAATAGAACTTAACCACAAATCCTAATGTCGGAATCTCCTCAAACAATATTAGTATATTTAATATTTTATGCCCTAATTTTTATTTGTTTTCTCTTATGTCCCGTATTTGGTTTCAACCATACCTATACAATTATTTTATTGACAATTATAATCAATCTTGACTATATTATCTTGCATTTGTAAACTTAGAATTACCTATTTAACCCGCACGGGCTTATCAATGGTTTAGTGGGTAGTATTTGGGAGAAGAGACCAAGGTTTGAACCTCGGCAGCGGCAGTGCGGGAATTATGTCCAAAGTGGGCAGATTCCTTGTGCGTATCAGCATTTGGCCCTGTCTGCTGAACCATTGAGTCACCGTGATTTACAACTTCCCACAATGCTCTGTCGAGTCGGAGTGTGAGGGGCCCTTGGGGTTGGGGACTCAACCTTTGGGAGAAGAATTACCTATTTAAATACGCAAATTCAACCTTCAATTATCTATGCATGAACAATTTCAATATAATCCTGCCTTAATATACTTTAAAGTACTTATTTAAAAAAAAAATGCATTGGGCATTATCCCAATCGCGCAATGCGCGTAAAAAACTAGTATTATATATAAGTATTACAATATATATTTACGTTAGAATTACACTTTAATTTGTAAGTATCACAATTTCAGTTATAAGTATTACTCCGTATAATATTTATTATTAGTAACAATCATTTTACCTTAAATAATATTACAATATTACAATATTTATTATAAATAACAATTTATTTATTCCAAATCTGTATTAATTTTTTTTCTATAATAAGTATTATGATTTTTATCATAAGTAATAAATAATTATCCTAGATTCGACCCATCTCACGAATCTTGACCTATGGGACGGACTCAGACAAGTGTACTCTAGTGAAAAATATTAGAGGGAGATTCCAATAAATTTTAGTCCTGCTTTCACACTCCCTATTTATAATTGGTTAAAAAGTAAAATAAATAAATAAATTGTAATAATAAAATGAATTCTTCTAATTAATACCAAAGTTTATAAATTATCACATCATGAAGTATTGAAAATGGAATAAAACAGTAAAGAAACCTAACCCCTGGTATGACTATAAATTTCCTACATTTCCTACATAACGGCACAATGTTATTCAAACCATAGTACTCGTTGTCAACTACAGTGAGAGAGAGAGAAATGGCTTGTGTTCCTCTAACTTCTCTGATGAATACAATCCACTTTGAGTTCTTACAACCCAGCCCACCTGTGATTTTTAATGAAGATACAGCACATATGATGAATTCTCTCTACCAGAATCTTGGTTTCTTGCTCGCCTTTCTCGATGAATTAGTGAAGAAGAAACCAGGGATAGATGAAGCTGCATTCAAAGATTTGGAAGCCAAAATCAAAGACTTCGCCTTTTTAGCAGAAGATGAAGTTGAATCATATCTGGCAACGATATATATGGAGGCGGCAGATAAAGAGATGACACTCTTTCAGAACCTACAACAAGTACTAGGTGAAGATGCAGAGATGATACTCTTTCAGAACCTACGACAACTATCTGAAAAAACCCAAAACTTCGTCAACACAATTAAAAGCCAATACTATGATTCAGCCGTCCAAAATTTGCCAAAGGTATCACCACAGTCTTTGCTTACTGTATTAATTAGCATGCAGTAACATTATATTGATGATACATTATTTCAAAATGAGTTTTTTTCCCAAAATGATCAATCCACTATTGCTCATTCTCAATTTTGTATTTCGACTTTCAATTGCACCAAATGTGGTCCCTCGACTTTCAAAAACTCACCCAATTTAGTCCTTCGTTTGGTTTTCCGTCTACTCAGTGTTAAAATGGGGGGCATTTTCGTCCATTTATGTCTTATATATATATATATATATATATATATATATATATATATATATATATATATATATATATATATATATATATATATATATATATATATATATATATATATATATATATATATATATATATATATATATATATATATATATATATATATATAGAATTAGGTTCTGGTGCGGTTGTGCGGTTTAATTTGGGTCATTCATCTCGCTTAAATCAACGTCCAGGATTACCAAAATTTAAAAAAAAAAAAACGCGGTGGCAATTTTGTAATTTTTGCATCTAGGTCAAAATTAAGGTGAACGGTTCTGTGATTAATGTGCGTGAGTTTTGTATATAAGATGAGTGAGTCTTGCGCGTAAGGTGCGTGAGTTTTGTGCTTAATATGCGCGGGGTTGTGCTTAATGTGAGTAGTTGTTAAAACTTAAAGTGTGGGCTTTTGTGTTTAAGGTGCGTGAGATTTGTACTTAATGTGAGTGGAGTTTGTGTTTAATGTGCGTAGGGTTTGTGCTTAATGTGTGTGAGATTAGTGATTAATGTCAGTAGTTGTTGAAACTTAAAGTCTGTGAGTTAATACTTAAAGTGCGTGAGTTTTGTGTTTAATGTGCGTGAGGTTGTGCTTAATGTGCGTGGGTTTTGTACTTAATATGCATAAGTTTGTGCTTAATGTCAGTAGTTGTTGAAACTTAAGGTCTGTGAGTTAATACTTAAAGTGCGTGGATTTTGTACTTAATGTGCGTGAGGTTGTGCTTAATGTGCGGGGGTTTTGTACTTAATGTGCGTGAGTTTGTGCTTAAAATCTAACACTTAAGGTGCGTGTTTCTATCACTTAAGGTGCGCCATTTTTAGCTTATGCTTCTTACTTCCATACACGCGTTTTTTTTTTTTTTAATTTTCATTGATTTGACCCGTTGATCTAGAATTGATCAACGGCTCAGATCTAACCGCACAACCGCACAGGAAGCTATACCCGCACCTGAACCCTCCCCTATATATATATATATATATATATATATATATATATATATATATATATATATATATATATATATATATATATATATGAACATCAAAAGATAAAAGTAAAAAGTACTACGAGTATTTATGTAAGTTACGAAACTTATTGTAAAACGTGATAGGGATAGAGGAAAATTTTGTATGTTTAGACAACGGAAAAAAGTTTGTAGAAAAAGTTTAAAATTTTAAGGTTAGAGTGTGTGATTTTATTAGGTATTATATTTGTAAGAAAAATAATCTATAGAAATTCTAATTTGATAGAGTCTAAAAATGAAAAATAAACAAAAATGAAATAAATAAAAGAGATTTTTCCAAAATGGTCCCTCGACTATTTCTCAATGTGTATAATACGTAAACGGATGAAAATGCTCTCCATTTTAACACTGAGTAGACGGAAAACCTAACGGATGACTAAATTGGATGAGTTTTTAGATAGCGAATGACCACTTTTGGTGCAATTGAAAGTCGAAATGCAAAATTAAGAATGAGCAATAGTCCAGGGATCGAAAAAACTCTTTTCAAAATTTACAAATTTTCCTCTACATGCAGGTACATACCCTTCCGTTAGATATTGGTTCAAACCACAAGAGCGGATCTGCACAGCGGTTCTCAAAGATTGAGGACAGAATGGTTAGGCGTAGAAGTGAATTAAATACAATAATGAATCAGCTCATTGGTCGCCCATGGAAAGTCATTTCCATTCTTGGGATGGGCGGGATCGGTAAAACTACTTTAGCCAAAAGAGTTTACGAAGATCCATTAGTGGTATCCCACTTTGACCTTCGTGCATGGACTACTGTCTCTCAAGAAGTTAACGTGAGACAAATTCTCTGCAACCTTCTTTGGTCCATTGAGACAAGAACGAATACTGACGGAAGCACAGTTGATCTAGCGCACAAACTTCGGCAACGTTTGATGGGTCAGTGGTATCTGATTATGGTGGATGACGTATGGGAAACCGATGTTTGGAATCATCTCACAAGATGTTTTCCTAAAAGTCTTGGAGGTGCAGTATTGGTAACCTCTCGGCTAAAAGAGATTGCAGACTACACTACATCAAGTAACAAGAATCTTCATAACTTGCATGTTCTCGATTCTAATGAAAGTTGGGAACTATTTTGCAGTCACATTTTCTTGAAACAACCCTTGCGCTCTAAATTCAAGACAATTCGAAGGAATATTGTTGAAAAGTGTGGGGGGCTACCCTTGGCAATTGTTGTACCTGCTGGACTTATATCCCGACTCAGCAAAGTTAAACAATTGGAAAATATTGAGGAAGAAATGAACTATCTTGCTAGTACAGATATTGGTGAACAATGTTCACGAATTCTTATTGTAAGTTACAACCATTTACCTCAGCATTTGAAAGCTTGCTTTTTATATTTAGGAGTTTTCTCAGGCCATAATGAAATTCCAGTTAAAAAGCTTGTTAGGTTATGGATTGTCGAGGGGTTTGTGAAGAAGTCAGTGGGGGATAAGGAATTGGAAGAAGTGGGTGTTGGGTATTTACAAGATCTTATTAGTAAAAGCCTTGTCCAAATTGATAAGCTTAAATGTGATGGCCAAATCAAGACATGTAGGATGCATCATCTCCTGCGCGTACTTTGTGTGAGACAAGCAAGAAACGAAAAACTTTTGTATGTTGAAGACGATGGTTTTGATATGTGCAACATTATTAGTTCTAAAAAAGCCTGTGGTATTCGGGGTTGGCTAGGTTTTAGATCGTCAAAGCCGCATAAGCATTTTGATATGCGTAACAGTATTTTAAAAAAACCCCATGGTGCTTCTTGTTGGCTATGTTTTAGATCGTCAAAGCCTGAGCCTTTTGATATGTGCAGCAGTTCCAAAAAAGCCGGTGGTACTTGTCGTTGGCTAAGTTTTAGATCATCAAATTTAAAGTCTGAACATTTTGATTTTTGCAACAGTAAAGCCCGCTCCATTTTGTGTTTGCATAAAGATGAAATAATGCCAATGGTCAATGATCCAAAGCCTCTAAACTTCAGCTTGTTAATAGTTCTAGATTTGACTTCTCCCTTGTACAACAAGGGAGTCCATTTGTCCGCCCGAGATCATCTATCCAATATGGTTCTTCTAAGATACCTAGCTTTTGAGATGGATAGGTCTCTTGGCTTCCAGGGTCTCAAGAATCTACTGTCTAAAAATAAAAAATTGCGAACACTTATGGTTTCACATAGTGCCCCTCACTGGCAAGTGTATTCTTCTCATTTGCCATCCACAATTTGGGGATCACCACAGTTAAGGCATCTTGAGTTTAGAAACTTCTTTAGAGTGGAGCCTCCAGGCATAGTGAAAGAGGACTTGCAAGTTGGTATTGGTTGAGCATATTTCATTGCACGGGAGAAGTTATTTCTAGGATTCCCAACGTATAAACGTTAGGGACTTTTTTGTGAAAATAGATTGATTTCTGACGATGGTGTGTCTTGCAATGGTGTTATCAGCTTGAAAAATCTATGTTATTTGAATCAACTTGAGGTTTTAACTATTGAAGCTGAGTATGCCATTTATAAGCGTATGTTGCTTCCAAGTATAGATGCACTTCCCTGTAACCTTAGGAAGCTGAAACTAAGCAAGACTTATTTGCCATGGAAGGATAATATATCAACAATTGCCTTGTTGCCTAGACTAGAGGTTCTCAAACTAAAAATTGATGCTTTCTATGGGCCCGTGTGGGAACCAACTGAAGGGGGATTTCTTCGATTAAAGTTTTTGCTGCTTGAAAATGAACAACTCATGATTTGGAATGCCTTTGATGATGAGTTCCCTATGCTTGAGCGCCTAGTCCTCAAGTATTGTAACACATTGGAAGAGATCCCAAGTTCTTTCTCAACCATTAATTCTCTCCAATCCATTGCCTTAGAAAGGTGTAAGCCTTCCCTTTTGACTTGTGCCAAGAATATTCAAGAAGAACGGCTCACCTATGGATATGATGGTTTTGTTGTTACTGACCGCACTCCTCAGGTCCATCTCTTTTGCACTTTTTTTTTCCACTATGATAAGTTCCTCACTTTTTTTTTTTTTTGATTTTGTATTATGTGTGTTGATGAATGCAGTACACTTTTGAACAAAGTATGAGCCATGGTTTTTACACAAGTTGAAGCCCATGAGCAGGGCCTCCGCAGGGGGAATGCAATATCTGTTGATTCAATTGAATGCAGTAAGTACACTTATGAGCAACTTAAATATGTTATTGGTATGAACGTTGAGAAGCCAATTAATAAGCACACATCTTCTTGTTTCTTGTTTCAACTATTTCTTCGCAAAGTTGTGTTGCTTTAGGAGTTTAGGTATGTGCATATTATTATATTTAACATTCTTCCAAAGGTTGAACCCCAACCCTAAGGGCCCCCCACACCCCAATATGTATGGTAAATAAAAGAATATTGCACTTTAATAGAAAAGAGGGGTGGGGATGCAACACAAGGACTTCCCAGGGATTGATTGGTAGATTGGTAGGTTTTCAAAAACTAAAGATCTGTTATAAAGATTAATTATTGTGGACATTATGAGAATTGATTGTATAATGATTAAATATTTATGTTTATCATTATTGCTTTCTGTTACAAGTGTATATTATATATATTGTTATAATATGTAGAAATAGATGATAAATGAGAAGATTCCTCTCCATTCTCTATATTTTCCTTCTTTCTACTGTTTGATTTTATAACACGATATCTGGCTTTGCTCTACCTCCTCAGTGAACCTAAACGCTTCACGATCTGCTTCGACGCATTGGTGGATTTTTTTTTCGCCCCTCTGCATTTTGCCGATCATCATATCGGGCGACCCGAAATCCAACTCCGTCCTCTAATGCAATGGCCGATCCGTCATCATCCGCTACCTTGACCGCTCCCTCGAGGTAGCCGTCTACGCCGAGCATGCTTATTAGACCATCGTCGCCAGGTACTCCCCAACAGCGAGTGAATTACCTCCGCCGACGTCTCCGGCACCATCCGGATCTAAGGCACCCACAACGATTTTGTACTCAAGAAAGAATTCCGAGTGCTCTCCGTTCAGATCGACGATCTCCAGTGGTCCCTCGATGGGATGCGCATTCTCGCTTCCGGTGATGGCAATGGCAAGTCCTTAGTTCAAGCCGACAAGGCCTTTCCGGATTGCAACATGCGAAGAAGATTTCTTGATGAATTTTATGAAGGACCCCCTTTTAAGTTCAAGCTATCTCACAGAACAGGGGGTAAAATTTGAGAGTTATCCCCCGGGAATGGCCATCATGGCGAATCAGTCACCCGCCATGGAGGCAATTCAGACGACGGAGACTTCGCAAGGACAATCGGCGGTCGTAGCTGATCTATCGCGATCGTCCGAAGTTTGAAAGATTCTGAATATGAATTTGATCTTTGAGTGACTAATGACTTATGACTCGTGAATGAAGTCTGCAACTTCTATTTTTAATGCTATGCTACTATGCAAAAATGCTATGTGCTTAACAGCTAAAAGTGAGTCACACCATGTTGGTTTGCCTGAAGCAAACAAATTGCTAATATTTGATAATATTTCACCATCTAATACTTCTTTTGGCATTTAATCTCCCTAAGATTGTCGAATGTTTGACTTATTTTGTTCAATGTGTATGCTTGTCCTATCTAATTTTATATGCCATTTGTGGTTAATTTCATATACATTTGACAACTTATTATGTTGTGATAATCTTTACATTTTAGAGACCCATTTTTTAATTATGGCATGACCAATTGGGTCTCTTAGGGCAAACATAATGAGTTAGATATTACAATTTCTTATCCACATGAGTATTTTATAGAGCATGTGTGAAGGAGAAATTACTGAATTATTTGTTTTGGGGATATACTTTTGTTCTAAATCCAAATCTAACTCACTGCATATCACAAATCCATCTCTCAAGCATTGTTATGATTGTTATACCTAGTACATGGTTTCAAAATATACATTTCCCTATCTGCGTCATTATTTATAGTGCGCAGTCTATTTCAAATATATCACCAGCACAACGTACCTCTAAAAAGGCTACAAAAGAAGCCTCCGTCTCTTGATTAATTAATATCAAGATGACATAATAAGAGACCAATACATATGCTTAGGTAAGCTGACTGCATACTTAATTAATGAAGATCGTTTCTCGGCATTAGGGGGAGATAAGTGTTCAAATTTAATAGAATGTCAAGAAATTTCATAGAATGAAAATATCTTTATTATTTAAATTCATGTATTAGTTAGACTGAACTTCTTTAGACTGAACTGGAAGTTCAGTAGATGATATATTTGCGATATTAGCAAATAATCTGTCAAATACATCTATTGATCATACTGATCATAAAAGAGTGACTAGGTCTCATATATCTTCTCCAATTTGGACCAAATATATCTACTGATACTTCTTGACGCCAGAAGTGTAAGAGATCTATCGGTGTAAGAGATAAGAATCATTATACGAGATCTAGTAAATAAACATTATCACTCTTGAAATAACATAGAACAATTTAGTCCTGAAGACGCTTGTCCAGATGACAAGAAACCCTAGTCAATTTATAGGTGCACCAAACAAACACAATACTAGGGATGCGAAACGACTAGATCAATATATCTTTGTGAAATGTCTAGAATCTAGTTGTTTTAGAAATTGCCATTAACAATTATAAATATGGGAGGGATTGAAGAGATTTATGAAAGTACTATAGTTGTGGACAACACAATTTCCTTTACAAATTGCTCCGTTATATGATAATCTGGATCCAGAGTTAGACACCGGAAGTGTCATGACTATTTAACGTATAAAGGAGTAATTAAGGCATAGCTCGACTCGCTAATATATATATATATATATATATATATATATATATATATATATATATATATATATATATATATATATATATATATATATATATATATATATATATATATATATATTCTCTTTATAACAATACACCGTTGAGTGTTGACCCTGAAGGTTACAAATGAGTGTGTGCATGAAAGAGAAATAAGAATAACGAGGTGATAAGATATGAAGCGAATTTGTAGCCTATGGGTTCACGCGGAGATCCTTAATTGATTTTAATCAAATATACCCTCTCATGGTAAATGGCATTAAGTTCCGCTACATACTACAATTGGAAGAATAATAAATTTCGATATGCAGTTAAATTTATTTTGAAAAATCCCTGATGGATTTATATTTCTCGAAATGAGGATTTATTTACGTATTATTATGTGCCATTGTTTACTCTTTAAAGAGTTGCGAATGTGGTTATTATCCTCATGTAGAAGGAATAATATGTACCATTATGTGCTCAATAAAGAGTTGATAATGGACTTATTTATTATCTCAGTCAATATTGATGGTATAAACATCAATGAAATATCTAAAGAGTTTGATGATATCAGTTAATGTTTAAAGAGGGAGATTTTGAAGCAAAAGTTTGGTTAAGTTAAGTTTTATCTCGACCTGAAGATCGAGTTTTTCCTTAAAAAAATTTTATACACCAATAAGTCAATATATAATGAGTTACTTGGGTACTGGCTATTATTTTTGTATTCCCATAATGCCAAGTTCCAAAACTAGTTGTACTATATTTACCTCCATTGTCCTATAAAGAGACAGTAAAGATTGTATTGCACAAATGATAAAAGGACATATAATGAAATCATTTTGACTAGACATTATGATGTCAATATTATACCCATGTGAGCTCTAGAAGAGTCACGAGATTATTATAGAATATATTCATTCCATTGACAATTGTACATATTTATTTACTAAATTCCTCTATACATTTTGAAAATTTAATGTATGGACTTAAAGATTGTTATCTTGAGGGGGAGTATCATTTTACATAAATCAATCCTGAAGATTGGGTCTTGACATCTAATGATTGTACTCTTTTCCTTAGCTAAATTTTTTCCCTACTGGGTTTTCTTAGTTTAAGGTTTTTAATGAGGCAGCTAATCTAAAACAAGAATACACATACATCATGCACTTTTTCCTTAATTAAGTTTTTTCCACGCGATTTTCTTAATGAGGTTTTTAACAAGGCATGGGTATGATATAGTAATGTAAATGGGAAAAAGTTGCAAAATAATTGCTTAAATAAACAAATCTCAAAATCCTGAAGATGATGCCGATTGTACCCTGAAGGCTTATGATTGTACTCTTTTTCCTTTGATTAAGTTTTTTTCCAAAGGGTTTTCTTAAATTAAGGTTTTAATGAGGCAATCAATAGAATCTATGATTTTACAAATATCATGTACTCTTTTCTTCAACTAGATTTTTCCCACGTGGTTTTCCTAGTGAAGTTTTTAACGAGGCTTGAATGAATATATATATATATATATATATATATATATATATATATATATATATATATATATATATATATATATATATATATATATACTCCATTTGTCTAGGTTTTTTTCCACAGGATTTTCCTAGCAAATTTTTGACGAGGCATGAATGTGAGAAGATAATGTCCAAGGGGAGTGTTATAAAGATTAATTATTGTGGACGTTATGAGGATTGATTGTATAACGGTTAAATATTTATGTTTAGCATTATTATTTTTTGTTACAAGTGTGTGTGTGTGTGTATATATATATATATATATATATATATATATATATATATATATATATATATATATTGTTGTAATATGTGGAAATAGATGATGAATGAGAATATCCCTCTCCATTCTTCGTATTTTCCTTTTGATTTTACAACATAAAGTAATTATTCCATTGCCTTTTTCCAATTAAGGTTGTATGCAAGTCGGTAATTGGATTATTGTTTTATGAGATAGATGAGAAAAAATAAAATCTTGAGTAAGGAGGAGAGAAAAATGATACTCCAATTATCGTTTTATGAGGAAAATAAATTTTGGAGTAATGAGGAGAGAGAAAACGGTACTCCAATCACCGTTTCTCTCTCCTCAATTTCTACCAAAAATAATACACCGCATTTCAACTAGTCATAGAGGTAAAGTTTGAAAAGAATAACCAGGGATCGAGTCTCAACAGCAGCAGTGTGGGAGCAACCTCCCAAAGTGCGGGAGGCTCCTTGTGCGCAGTAAGCAAAAGTTTAGCCTCTGTGGTTCATGTTCAATTGAGTTACCATGATTTACATCCTCCTAGATGCTCTGTCGGGCCAGGGTGTGGAGGGCCCTTAGGGTTGTGATTCAACCTTTTGGAAAGAATAATACACAGCATTTGCCCGCATGGGTAGCTCAACTGATCATATGGGTGAAGTTTGGGAAGAATGACCAGGGATCGAGTCTCACCAGCCACAGTGTGGGAGTAACCTCTCAAATGAGGGGGTTACTTGTGCGCAGTAAGCAAAGGTCTAGCCTCTATGGTTCAGTTGAGCTACCAATCTGTCGGGCCGGGGTGTGGGGCCCTTGGGGTTGGAAATTCAACCTTTTGGGAAGAATAATACACAGAATTTGCTTCCACGAGCTTAGCTCAATGGTTTATTAAGCAATTGGAGAAGAATAATACACAACATTCCCTCCTCTACCTACCCAAGATGAGTGTTTTGGAGTAATTGATAATTGTATTCACAGTCTATCAATAGGAATATAGAACGACAGAATTAGGGGTAGGCATTTCGGACTTCGATTCTGTTTTTTTTTCTATTTTGATTTTAAAAAAAAATTAAAGAATTCGGTTTAACATTAGAGTTCGATATGATTTCGGTTCAGTTTTGAATCGGTATTCGGTTCAGCCGCCCTACCCCACCTTAGGCTCGCGGGCCTTGGAGGGAACCCGCCAAATTTGAATATATTTAAATTTAAATAAAAATTAATATGAAAAAGTTAATAACTATGAAACCCATATATATATATATATATATATATATATATATATATATATATATATATATATATATATATATATATATATATATATGTTTTTTTTTTTGAGTACTACAATATCTGTCCATGCTTCCACTGGGGTTTGAACCCGTGACCTCTCATTTGGAAAAACCACAAAGGTGTTATTGAGCTATTACAAGTTATTTAACAAATCTATACTTATTTGTTAAAAAATAATATCTTTATTTCATTTATTACGGTATTGATATTGAAATCTAATTATAATAAAAGAAATTATAAGAAAAACTAATTTCATACACGCCTATTAACAAACCGAACATAAATGAACAGAGGTTGTTCGTGTTCGTTCGTTAAGATTTTTGGAATGTTCGTGTTCATGTTTGTTTGTAAGGTTTTTGAAAATCCTGTTCGTGTTCGTTTGTTAAGCATTCATTAGTGTATGTTAACGTTCGCGAACATGTTCACCAACGTGTTCGTTAATGTTAACGAACATGTTCGTTAACAAGCACGTTCGCGAACATGTTCGTTCATGTTCATAAACACGTTCGCGAACGCTTAATAACCAAATACATGTACATATTCATGATCGCAATCTGTTCGTGAACAATAAGTCAATAAATAATTTATGTTCACGAACTATAACCAAACAAGCAAGACAATTACAAAACTAACACAAATAATTGAATAAGTCCAATCGTAACATCTACTATCAAAATGAAAATACACGTCTTCTCAAAAAATTAGATAAAAAAAAATGTACACACACAAATTGTTTGTTCACATTACAAGCCAAACACATAAAACTTATAACATAAGATACTTTTAGATTATGCATCCACCATCCCATTCCAACCTTCAACTCCAAGCTTATTATATATATATATATATATATATATATATATATATATATATATATATATATAAATTTAAGTGCTTGTTTGTGAACATGTTCGTGAATATTATTAACGAACAATAAACGAGCTTGTTCGTGAACATTATTAAAACGAATACTAAATGAGCGTGTTCATGAACAATATTAAATGAACACAAACGAGCTTGTTCACGAGCTTTTAGCAAACAAGCTTATAAATGTTCAGACTCTGTTCGTTTATCAATCGAGCTCTAGAATTTGTTCATTTATGTTCGTTTACTTAAATAAACGAACGCTTACCGAACACGAACACGAGTTATTTACCGAAAGCTCGGTTCGCTAACACTCCTTTGCTAAAAGCTAATTTTTTTTTTGAAACACGATACCTACTATGTTCAAATTATTTATATTAAAAAAATATATAAGTTTTAAAAATGCATTGAACAAAGTAAGTATTGTGTTTCAAAAAAAAAAAAAAAAAAAAAAACAATTTAGCTTTTAACAAATGAAATTAGTTTTTCTTATAATTTATTTTATTATAATTAGATTTCAATATCAATACCATAATAAATGAAATTGAGATATTTTATTGACAATAGGTCAATGATGTTAAAACTGACAACAGACAAAATATTGAGGACAAGTAAGAAATTATTAGCATCTAACAGCGGCAGCATCATTATTTCTTATATCTTATACAATATAATGGCAATTGGCAGTAACATATCCTGTGATTCATCATAGGAATTCGCCCCATCACTGAAAATATAATGCAAAATGGGGAACATATATGAAACCAGATGAGAATTGAAGAAGATATTTTAAACAGATTTGGCAAATAAAACAAACAATATAATAGAAGAGAAAAGAAACACAGATATACCTAGCAAGCTAGCTAAAATCATGAATCACGTCGTCGACAACAACAGTAAGTGGTGTAAGGAAAGCATGAACTCGAAGTAGGCACGCACGCCTGATATTGTGCGCCTCCCAAGGGTTGTTTGCCTCTTTCCGAAGCCACTTTCGCTTCTCCAGAATCTTAATGGCAGAAGTGACAACACGAGGGGAACACTGCTCCACCTTAATTGTCTCTAGGATGTCAATAAAGCTAACATTAAATGGGATCTCTTCCAAACAATAACAACGTCTTAGGATTAGACACTTTAGTGTTGGGAAATCAGCACTACACCTGACCTCCAATTTCTGGAGATTTATAGCAACACTTCTAAGTTAGGAAATTGTTCAAATGATCCCCACACTTGGCCAGAGAAGGCGTTTTCTAGTTTGAGCACCTTTAAACCTCTCAATATCCATGGAATTATCGAGATATTATTCCCGCTCAACCTCAACTTCTTCAGCCCTGTAGAAAACACTGGCCGCTCTAAATGGGTCATACTGTTTGCTGGGACTATAACCGTAAGTGTTTCGAGCTTCGAGAAACACCTAATATAATCCAAATTGATGGTGGGGTTTCTGTAAGATCCAGGGCTGCTACTTGGCTCAAAGGCACCTTTATAGAAAACCTTCAGATATTTTAAGTTTGGGAACTTCCTATACACCTCTTCTGTGAAATGAGTTGGACTAACCCACGATAATGTTTGCAATTGCTCTATATTCCAGTTTGGAGGATCCACCTCATAGTAATTGCCAAGTTCAAGATGCCTTAAATGTGGTAACTCCCAAATTCTGAATGACAAATGGCCAGTTCTATGTAGTTGTGGCTCACCACCAGAAACAATAACTGTCTGCAAATTCTGATTGTTTGACACTACATCACCTAAACCATCAAACCACGGTGGTACAAATAGGTATCTCAGAAAAACTAAATCTCTTAAATGCAATGGCACAATTTTGAAGATTTGAAGTGCACTCAAAGCCACAATTCTCAATAGCTTGAAAGATACCGACTTTACATAATCTCCATGAAAGAAGAAAAGAGAGCGAGGGTTATTTGTAGTAAAGAGCGTGTAATAATCCAACTTATGCGAGTATAAACCTAACCAACGACATGAATTTACAAACATGTCTAATGGCAATCCTAAATCTTTTCGAGTATACACCGCACATAGGAGACCCTCTTTTTTAGTTTCTCTTGTACAGAAGTCCCATAAGGAGCTATGTATCCAGCAAACATTAGTCATCTTATGTTTCCATTTGCTGATTGAGACTAGACCACTATGAACAAGACCATCTAAATAGCAGCAACCTTCCTCTTCTAAATCCTTCACCAATTGCCTCCCAAATCCCTTACACTCCATTTGCCTCACAAATCCCTCAGCAATCCATATCCTAATAAGCCTTTTCACATTGATTTTAAAGCCTTTTGGATAGATTGCAAAATGTAAAAAACAAACTTTCAAATGCTGTGGCAATTGATTGTAAGATAGAGTAAGCTTACTTAAGTGCTCAGCATCATTGTATAGAGGTCCCAATGTCTCGACTTCCTTTTCAATCTTCTTCCATTCCTTTAAAATGTAACCGCATTTAGACAAACGCTCTGCAATTGCAACAATTGACCGTGGCAACCCTTCGCATTCATTCACAACATGTTTGGCAATTTCTACAAATTTTGGTGCTCTAAGCTCTTTGGGAGAGAGATTGTTGCAAAATAGATCCCAACTTCTGTTTGGATATAATATGCACATTTTATGCACATTACCAAATGTGGCAGCATCACAACCAACAGTATTGAACTGAGTTGACAGCAATATACGGATTCGGAATGAATCATTAGGAAGACATGTTAGGATATCACCCAAAGCTCGGGTGTTTGGTATATTATCCAAAACAATAAAATACTGCTTCTGATGAGTACCTCCCAAGTGCTTGTGTAATTTCTCTTTTATTAGTTGAGAAAGAGTGTTTCCCTTGTACTCTTGAGGCACAGTAACCCAAGCTCGAACGTGACCTTCTGCCATATCTGAGCCATAGACTCTTTTAGCCAAAGTAGTCTTGCCAATGCCTGACAATCCTACAATTGAAACTATGTTTTTTGGCTCCAAGGTATGGAATAACATCTTTTCTACCGCATTGAAGGCGTCTTCATTAAATTGATCCTCAAGATTTGGAGAGCATGGTGAGGATGGTCCACCCAACACAACATTCTCAGGTTTCAACCAATGAATGGATGGATGAGTTTCAGTGACCATGGCCGCTTCGGGTTCACTGCTTCTGCTGTTGTTGATAATCTTGGACAGCTCTTCTGCATCTTCTGCAGCTTTTCGCAAGCTTTCATGGAGTTCCCCACGGGCTTTGGCTTGACACTCTCCGTCTTGGGCTAGAACAAAGCTTCTTAGTTGTATCTCAATGTCATCTTCAGCTTTGAGCGCAAAGTCTCTGATTTTGATTTCCAGATGACGACGGTCTTGGAGCACCACCATTGTTGTATTCCTTGTGCAGAAAGGCTTGCAAAGAAGAAAGCTTCTCAAACAGAGAATTCAATGGCTTTTCATCAAGAAGAGACTCTGTGGTTTCGTTTTCGGAACTCAAGGTCGATTGTTGCCATTAGAGAAGCCAATGCAACACAAGCCATCTCTCTTTCTATGTTTTTCCTCTCACACTCTCTTTGTCTGATCTGTTTCTGAGCAATTGATGAGAATTTATATATGTTTGAAGGGCCATTAATATGGAGCTAGCTAGAATCTCATCGGTACATACTTGAATTTTTACATTTTTTTAATGCAATCATACAACTCAGGAAAACTGCTAAGCACATGAAAGTCCATACTGAATTAAAAGCCAACCTACTGCCCAAATTATTGAGTGAACAGAATCAGGAATGATATCTTTTTGAATTAAAATTCAACTTAAATAACTAATTAAAAGTCAAATTAAGTAAAATAATAAATTTGTATAAAATAATCTCACAACCAGCCAGCCATAGTAAAAATCAGAAAATAAAATCAAGAATTATTAGAACAATATTCAAATTAAGCACCAACATCCACAGGAATGCAAAAACGATCAGTGAAAAAAACTTATAGCAAGGAAGTCTCTCTTTGAGGCAATAACTCAAACACTTGGTGTGAGATCCAAATGGCAAAAAAGAAACAGAAACAGACTGCTAACTTTTCAGCGTTACATATAATCGTTATCATCATACTACACTCAACTTTTAAAGACTTCTTTTTAATTTTAATCAATTTTCAGTATGGACTTGGAGATTTACCTCTTCGGCGTCTGCAAAAGGATGAAGAATTGGAGCTCGGCACCCCAACTAGAAAATAAAAATGGAAGATTCTGAATGTAAAAGAAGGCATAATCAGGTGCGGGGATAGCTCAGTTGGGAGAGCGTCAGAAGATCTGAAGGCCGCGTGTTCGATCCACGCTCACCGCATACATCTTTCGGAGGTGACGAATGGGTTGAAATAAAATTATTAATTATAAAATTATTCATAATGTATTTCTAAAATGATATCACTCTTGACCTTGCACATGCATCCTGCATTAATGGTGGTTTAATTTAGGGCTTGTTTGATTATCAGCGGTTAGCAATAGCGGATTGTATTAGCGAGTTTGACTATTTGAATTGTACTAGCGGTTTGTAAAAAAACATGACCAAAAGGGTAATAATAATAATAAATAAATAAATTGATGTAATAATAATAAATAATAATAAAATTACTAAAAAAAAAAAAAAAAAAAAACTAAAATTGACACATCGAAATGTTAAGGAATTGGAGGCGTTGAGCTCCCCAAAAGGGGAGCTCAACGCTCCTTATTCATTCCGGCCCATCCGATGACCGACATCGGATGGGCAGGATAAAAAGAAGCCTCAGGCTTCTTTATTTAGAAGTCTGAGGCTTCTGTTAAAATTGTTAACCAAAAAAGTTAAAAATATATATATATATATATAGAATTAGGGGTGTTTTGGGCAAAAGCCCAAAACGCCATTTTAAAACGCTGCATATAGCAGCGTTTCAGATTTTGACGGTTTGGAGCAAATCCGCTGCTCCAAACCGCCATTAACCAAACATAGTTTTCAGCATTTTGACATGGTCAAAACGCTGAAAATGATGGATCCGCCAAAATTTTGGCGGATCCGCCAATAACCAAAAAAGGCCTTAATGGAAAAGGAATAGAAACATATATAGGTGAAATTGAGAATCAATTATTATATTATGGATTATTACTGATATAAGATATATTTTTATTATACTAGGAGCATATTTTTAATATATTAAAAGTTAAATTTTTTTTAAAGGTACAATATTTGAGTACTTAATATACATTTATACATTTAGTACATATATAATTTACATTCAGTATATTAAAAATGTACATTTATTAATGATCTATATTACAATGTAGACATGGTCTACAATATAATTTGCATGCCCTTTGGAAATATGAACATAGTAGGTGAATCAGAACGAGTTACTTAGATCAATATAATTCCCAATCCAAATGGACGAGATACTCAGATCAATATTCAACAAAGGATTTTATGAATCAGAACGTTTATGGGTCCCAATCTTAATAGTTAATAGAAATAAGGGTCAAATAGGTCATCGAACTGCACACAATAATGCAATTAGGTCATCACTGAACCGAAAAAATCAACAATTAGGTCCCTAAACTAACCAATTTCAAACAATTCTTCCAATTTCAAGATTTCCAACAGGTCAACAGGTCATCCTCTCAAATTAATTATTTTTAAAAAATAAATTTTAAAAAATAATTATTTTTAAATTTAAAATTTAAAAAAAAAAAAAAAAAAAAAAAAAAAAAAGACTCCGGCCGGAGACGGTCCATCTCCGGCCGGTACTTTTTTTTTTAATTTAAATAATTAATTTTAAAATTTTATTTTTAAAAAAATAATTTATTTGAAAGGATGATATGTTGACCTGTTGGAAATTTTCAAATTGAAAGAATTGTTTGAAATTGGTTAGTTTAGGGACCCAAATGTTGATTTTTTAGGTTCAGTAGCCTAATTGAATTATTGTGTGCGGTTGAATGGCCTATTTGACCCTTATTCTTAGTTAATATAACATGGATCTTTAGGGCATCCCCATTAGAGAGATTTTTCTTGGTTTTTTCAGAGTCTTTTGCCATATGGAGGAGAGAGATGGTGGAGAGGGATGGTTTGAGGTCCTCTTCCAAAGACTCAAAATTTTGCAGAAATGTGGAACCCACTGCAAAACAAGCACATTCGTGCCGCCTACACGTGATAAATGGTGTTGTTCATATTTAATTTTTTTTTTTTAAATCAACTTTGTTTTTGTTTTTTCTTTTTTTCTCTTTCCTCCCATATTCTCTTTCCTAACGATTTGATAAAGGATAAAAAAAAAAAAAAAAAAAAACCTTCGTAGGAGGTTCTGGCTCTGATACCATGTAAGGAAATGAACTGTTGTATATTGATGTAGAAGCTAACAGATATAAATAGTATACACAGGAGAGTAAGTAGTTAAGAAATTGTAACAGCTACTCTAATATACCTATTTTAAAAGAATACAATTTGAATAAATATAAACAAAAAACATCAACCACATATATGCTTAACAACCCACACTTATAAAAATTTATCAAAAACACAAAAATAGACCCCACTATTAAGGATTCTCTTATACAACGAATGGGCAGCAATGAAATCCATGCATCACTAATATTGATGATGTGGACAAGACCCTGATGGAATAAGTGAACAGATTGATAACACTACGAAATAGATACATGGAGCACTGGCTACTCAAATTGGTGCAACAACTTAACTTTGACTGCCTAAAAGGTTAGTTTACATGCTTACCTACTTTAAATATTAAATTTATGTTAGATTATATTTATATTTAACATGTGATATTAAAGCTACATTGTCTCATCCTAATTGATTAAATGCATACTTTATGTTATTGTTTATAATAATTATGTTAATGAATTATTATTAATGGTAGGCAATACAATCAGCAGCGGATTGCATAATATAATACTCATTCATTGTCTCAAATTTGAGAACATTTATTTGCTCAAATTTGTTTTGTGGTCATGTGAACCATCATAAAAGAGAATTTGTTAAGTCGACTCTTAATAGTAACAATTATTTGCTATAATTCATAAGTTATAATACTAAATCTTAATGAGAGTTTTGCCTAGGAGGGAAATATAATGTCATTAATTTCACATCCCATAAATGAAGTTGTAGGCTGAAGTGGTGAAATTCATAGCACTAATTATAGGATAACAACACCAGGGCAATCTATAAGACTCTAGTGTCAAATTCACTTGATGATCCTGATTCAAAAGTCAATGATTATTTGTCCATACACAAAACTATTTATGGTGCTAGTTTTTATCATAAAAATTCTTGGACATGAGTCTTGAACATTGAAAATCTCAAATCTTAGTATTTAAACAAAACGATAGTCACTAAGAAAAATGCACAAAGACAACAATTTTTTGCAAAAATGTTGTCTTTTATGTAAAGGACAATAGTTTTGTCTAAAATCGTTGTCTTTGACGTAAAACTTTTGTCAAAGACAATGGTTTTTACCGAATCATTGTCTTTAGTGTATTGTCTATGTGTCTTTGTGCACTTTTTTTTTTTTAAAAACAATTTTATTTAACCGGTGTCGTCGTGGGTGCATGTGTTTTCTTTTTATATGTCAGCAAGTATTGCATATTCATTGAAACAAATAGTACTTGTTATTTGAAAGGTATTATATATTATAATTAGGGTTACAAAAATTCCACATAGACACCAATTAATCGGCGCTTAAGTGCTAGGCGTTGGCCGGGCGTTTAGCGTATCACCATATATAATCTCTTGTCTAGGCGGCTGGCCGACTAGGCAGCCTATTCGGCTGATTAGCTATTGTTCCATTATTTTTTAAATGATTATTTCACTCAAAACGATATCGTTTTGAGCGAAATAACCATAAATTGTTCAAATTCTAGATATTTTTAAGTTAATATTTTATATTTTAGTATTAACTATTAGAGTATTTAATAATTTATAATTATCAAGTCTTAAAAATTTTTTAAAAAAAATTAAACAAATTTTTTTTTTAAAAAAAAAAAACATGAGTGCCTAACATTTTTTCAACCATAATTATAATTATAATATTTTCTAGTGAAAATGTAATACATGTTTATCTATAAAAAAAATATTACATTTTCACTAAAATAAAATAAAATACGAATATACTTTTATCAGACAGTTTTGCACAAAATCAATCGGATAAACTGATATATAAACATTTAGGTTGACCCATGACCTAAATTTCGAGTCGGATGGCAAAAATAATTTATTCTTTAGATTTTTTTTTTTTATATAATTAGGTCATTAGCACCTACTTTAATATGACATTAATTAAACTTTTTAATGCCAAACACCTCAAATCAAATCTTTGAACTATATGGTATGACGATGGAATTTTCATATGTTGTCGTGATCGTGATGATATATTTAATAAAAGAATTTTGCTTTAGCACATATTCTCGCGCTATTTCATGAAATACGCAAAACAATTGAAGTATAAAATGCATGACGAGCTGAACAAAGAGCATGGGGAACCTTAGCCTAGCTTGTTATAACTTGTAAGTAACAAATTCGTATCTGATACCCCTTGACGACAACGAGGATTCTAATATATTATTGCACCTGCCACTTGGCTCCTCAGAACTGGTTGAATTGGAATCATTGTACTGTACTGCACATTTTTTGACTTTTTTTAACAAAGAATTTTGCAGCAACCCCTTGCAATAGATAAATCTCCTCCTGTGTTGTAATCCATTAAAAACACTATATATATATATATATATATATATATATATATATATATATATATATATATATATATATATATATATATATATATATATATATATATCGTATCAGATACCCCTTGACGACAACGAGGATTCTAATATATTATTGCACCTGTCACTTGGCTCCTCAGAACTGGTTGAATTGTCATCATTGTACTGTACTGCACATTTTTTGACTTTTTTTAACAAAGAATTTTGCAGCAACCCCTTGCAATAGATAAATCTCCTCCTGTGTTATAATCCATTAAAAACAATATATATATATATATATATATATATATATATATATATATATATATAAAAGGTCAAGTTCCTGTGAGAACAGGTCTTCCCATGCGGTCAGTGCGGCATACACTATTAGATATGCATAAATGCATCACAAAGTGTTCAAAAATACACAATCATGTGTGGTGTATTTTTTTTTTTTTTTTGTGTGGTGCATTTTTTAACATTTTATTTTGGTGTATTCTCGAACACTGTATGATGCATTTAAACTTTCAAAACTTGCAATTAAAGACATAAACATATTATTTTGAAGCATTTAAACCCAGAAACCAGTTGGTAACCTGTAATTACATGTTACCTAGGGTTCCAGCGACCTTTCCTACACTTTCCGACAATAATTACCGGTAACGACGATCGCCCCGTCGTCGTTCGCATTTGGAGGAGGCGACCAACTGGTCTGCCTTCTCCAATCGCCGGAGAAGGCGACCAAAGTAGTTGCCTTCTCCAGCAAAGGAGAAGGTAGACTAGTTGGACGCCTTCTCCAGCGACGAGTTGGTCTGCCTTCTCCTTCGTTAGAGAAGGCAACTAGTTTGGTCGCCTTCTCCGGGAATTGGAGAAGGCAGACTCGTTGGTCGCCTCCTCCAAACACGACCGGCGACCGTCCGATCACTGGTGATGATTGTCGGAAACTGAAAAGTGTATTAAAGGTCGTCGGAACCCTAGGTAACCTTTAATTAGAGGTTACCAACCGGTTTCTAGGCTTAAATGCTTCAAAATAACATGTTTATGGGTTTAATTGTAACTTTTGAAAGTTTAAGGGCCTAATTGACTTTTTGAGTAAAGTTTAAGGACTTATTTGACCATTGTCCCTATAATATATGATACAACCAATCATCATGGCCAGCCCTGAGGGCGTGTGAGATGGGCACCCGCCCTGGGCCCAACATTGCAAGGGACCCCTAGCTTGATTTTTTATTTTTATGATGAAGTTAAAAAAAAAAAAAAATGCTTGCATATGCAAAGATTTGAATCCATGACTTCAAAATTATTTATTAATTTAAATCCACTTAACAATTACAATCATGTGTTATACTTATATCTCAGTTATTAGATACTCCCTCCGTCACATTTTATGTGTCTGGTTCAGTTAACGAGGCTCGAGTAAAGTTATTTTTAATTCAATTTTTCATAATATTAAGTTTAGTATTAGTATACACAATTTATGTATTTAGAAACTACACTAAAATACTATTAAACACAAAAAAAAATCAAATTTAAAAATAAGTAAAAAATACTAAAGAAAATAAACAAAGAAAAAAGAGTTGATTTGACCCATGAATACTGACTATGACAAATAAAATGGGAGAGAAGGAGTAAATATTAGTCAATGTTTAATTACTTTATTTATAATTAAACTTCATATAGGACGTACCCAAAGTTTGAATGGACAATTGGACACTACTCTAAGGCTAATCTAAAATATTTTTTTAATAAAAATTATATGTATACAAAAATTTAAAATTAATATTTAATTATTTTCAATTAACTCATACAATCTTTTAACTTCATATATTAAGTGTCCTTGTTTTTATTTTATTCCGGGCCTATAAAATGATAGGACCGGTATTTATAATAATAGTTCGATCAACATCTCTGAATGAAAAAAATAGAAAACTATATAAACATTTCACGATCATAAAGACATGTTTTGTTCAGTTAATCATATTCACATGAAAATCAATATATGCACGGTTTAAATGACAAATAATCATTATTCTCTTCCTCCCTAACTACCTTCACGCGTATGTTGTTCTCCAAATTCCCAATGATCTAAAATTTCACTTTTTTTTATTAATCTTATTAGTGCAAAATGATCTAAGTATTTATAAGTTCTTTTTTGACATTTTTTCTTTGTTCGAACTAAAACGATATTATAAACATTTAATTTATTAAATGTGAACATTTATTAGTTCATTAAATATAAATGGTTGAATTTGACATTTTAGTAAAATTTAAATATAAAACTAAAAAACAAAAAGGTCAACATATATGAAATATATACATATATATATATATATATATATATATATATATATATATATATATATATATATATATATATATATATATATATATATATATCTAGATGGCCCTGTGCTTAATATTTTATTCCTCTTTGACCAAGGGAATCCTCAAGTTGGGAGAAGGAAATACACGAGTTTTCAAAAGTATCAAGCAACAACAATAATTTTCCGAGTTTTCAAAAAAAAAAAAAAAAAAAAAATTCTGAGGGCATAATCGTCTCAACACTTTTAAAAAACCGAATTTCTCGGAACTGATACACAGCGTTATAAAAGCGTGTCCAAACCGCCGGAAGTTTGCAAATTTGTAAATCCCCGATATCCAAAGGCATTAGAATCTGTTAAGCTCACCAAAATACAAGCCGAGTAAGTAGAGTGTACAAATGGGTAAAGCAGTGGAGATCTTGAACGCCGAGGAAGTAGCGGAGGGAGCTCCCGACGACCGGACCTCCGGTATACCGTCGTCGCATCTTACAGTCGATCACACTCTCTCTATCCCCGAGATGAAGCCTCATGTTGTGTACGAACTCTCTCTCTCTCTCTCTCTCTATATATATATATATATATATATATATATATATATATATATATATATGTGTGTGTGTGTGTGTGTGTGTGTGTGTGTGTGTGTGAATTCCGCCGTAGGAATCAATATGAAATCCACATTAGGAAAAGTAGGAAGAGTTCCGTGGTTGTTTGATTAAGGTTGACGGAAAATTCATCGGCGTTAGCTAGGAAATGATTGATTGAAGCTGGAAATCAAGTAAATATATTTAAGGATATTATTGAAGTAGATATATGTATTCCTGAAGCTAAGGTCGTAGTTCAGTTTATAAGCTGATTAGATTGGCGCGCCAATAAAAAATTGTGTAGTTTAAATGTCAGCTTTATAATTGAGAAAATATTTTGGTGTGCTTTGAAATAAGAAATGGAATAGTGGAGCGTGATATATTGGATTTATTGCTGTTTCGCTGAGAATTTCTATTTTTAGAAGCTATCAAGTTTAGTTGTTGTGGAATTCTATGTTAAATTTCCCATCAAACTACAAAATTACCGTGACCGTGTAGTACAGTTTTGATTGATTGTTTTTTGTCACTTTGTTCAGTGTAAATGCCTCTGAAATTTTGTGGTTCGAGTTTCTTACTCGAGCAATGTGTGGCTCATTCTGTCTCTTGTTTTTAATCTCCCTGCTAAAATTTTACAGCGAGCTCTGTAAGGATCTCTTCAAGAAATGGTCAAATTTGGATGATTCTCACTTCTCCGTTGAGACTCTATCTGGTGGCATCACAAATCTCTGTGCGTATTTATCTTTAATTAACATGCATAGCGTATTTATCCAAACATAGCCTTCTATCTTTTCCTTCTCTCTTGTTATCCAGTTTTCCTTGAAGTAGTTAGTAGTGGATTTAGCATGTAGTTACGGAGTACTTCTCAAAAGACTGAAATTCATCTTCTTACATCTATATCTTCTCCCTTTCATGCAATGTTCAATTTCTACAGTACTGAAAGTATCTGTAAGGGAAGAAAATGGGGAAACAGTGAATCTGACGGTTAGATTATATGGCCCCAATACTGATTACGTTATAGATCGTGAACGAGAACTCCAGGTGAGTTTCAGATGCCATTGTTTACTAAGCTAGTATGCTTCTCTGAAGTGATTTTGATCACTTAATTATGTCTGCTTCTTTCGAAAAGAACATGAAGTTTTGGGTACTTCATTAGCAACTTACATTGTTACAACAGTTTTAGCCATTCAACTAAGTTAATGATCACTAATGCCATTGGAATTTTCTGTTTTGTGTTTTTATATTTTAAAAATCATTCCTACCAACAAAAATAGGTGGAACTTAAATTTTCCTTATCTGAACTTCCTATTATGCTAGTAGTCAATTCTCTGGGCTTCTCAATATTGTTTCTACCTTAAACAATTAAGGCTACCTCTGTATAGCACTTTGTTTGGCATACAAACTGTAGAACAGAACCATGATGATGCACATCATATTCTAGTCACCTACATTTCACCTGCCGGAGTGCAAGTGTATAAGATGTGCATACAGGCTTTCTGCTTATTTATGGTGGTTGTTTAAAGAATGATGATATTGTGCTGTTGCAGTTCTAAAATAGGACAATGTTTACAGATGTATTTTCACTTGATTTTATGTCTAATTAACTGCTGCTTAAATTGCATTTAGGCCATTCAATACCTCTCAGCTGCAGGGTTTGGTGCCAAGTTGTTTGGAGTGTTTAAGAATGGCATGGTTCAGTCATTTATTCATGCACGTACCTTAGCACCCTCAGGTAGGAAATTTGACACAGCATATTTATCCAGCTATCAGTTTCTTTAACTCACTTGGAGACCCTGGCAGCAGTTTGAAGAAAAGTAGTTTTTCATTTCTTTAAGTGAATAATCTATATGTCTTGTCTATTTATTGGTTTTGCTTTGGACAGAAGCTGTTCATATGCTGCAATGTTGTGCTGCTGGTTTACTGCATATTACTCCATAAAATGTTGTCATTTTTCATCCCACCTTAGTTTTATCCTTTTCCTTTGATCAGAAATATTTGTGTTTCCCCCATTTGAAATATAGACTCATGTCTTATTTGAGAATAAGAAAGCTTCACACACACAAGCTATGAATCAAGACTGAACTAGTTCAAAGCCTGGGGTTGGCACTAGAAAATGATGGCTTGACTAATAAAAGAAAAACAGAGCCAGATATGTTACTTGATGAATGCAGACTAGACACATTTGTATACTGGAGAGTACAGGAAAGAAAAATTAAATAATGTAAACTTTGCAGACATGAGAAAACCCAAGCTGGCAGCTGAAATTGCAAAAAAACTCCATGAGTTCCATCAAGTGGAAATTCCAGGTCCCAAGGAACCTCAACTTTGGAATGAAATAATCAAGTTCTTTAGAAAAGGTACTTTATCTCAGTTATGCCATTTGATGTGGCTAAGAACAATTTGATATTTCCTTCACTGAATATCCTAGACATATCACTGCAATTCAGCCCATGAAATGAGAATGCTGGTTTAGTCTACATGCTATTGTTGTCCATCTGGTCTTATGCCTGTGTTTCTACTATGTTTGCAGCATCAACTCTTCAGTTTGATGATAGTGAGAGCCAGAGGAAGTATGTGACAGTCTCATTTGAAGAAGTTCATAATGAGATCACTGAGCTCAAGGTAGTTGACCTTTCAGTAATTTCTGATTATTGGTTACATAATCTAATTCAATTAAGTTCACCTTGTACTGCTGATAGTTTGGCATCATTTGAAGAAAGCTCATAATGAAGGGACAGTATTTTCCTTGGACAAGGAATCATGGGTTCTTTGAGGTTCATTGAATCTAAACTATTACTAGCATTTATAATATCTTGTTGATGGATAACTAAATACTATTTCAATTCTGGAACAGGAATTGACAGGACATCTTAATGCTCCAGTGGTGTTTGCTCATAATGATTTACTTTGTGGCAATCTGATGCACAATGAGGATGAAGGTACTTATGCCATTGATATTCCTTAACCATTGCATCTTCATCTTGTTTCCCGTTTACACACACAAGAAAGATATTGGGTTGCCAATGGTTATGAGCCCATTGCATATAACAGATCATTCAGTGTCTGGTAAAATCTTGCTATAAGTGTTGGTAACATATCTGATCACATCTCCTTCATTGTCATGATGTCATCCCAATACGAATTAGTTTTGCAATAATGGATTTTACACGGGATCAATAATTTTTAATGGCTAATGATTAGTGATCTACTCATCTGTATGAGGTGATTTGAAGAGAATGTTGGAAGCAAGTATTGGATGCACTAATCTGATGTGAACAAGCTATATGATCCTTTCATTTGATTTTTTTCTAAATTCTACACATGATTCTACCCTTTCCACTAACCTCATTCCTCATCGTAAAAATCCAGGAAAACTCTATTTCATTGATTTCGAGTATGGATCCTACAACTATAGGGGTTTTGACATTGGGAACCACTTCAATGAATATGCTGGCTATGAATGCGACTACAGCCTGTATGTTGTTCTCTCCCCACCCTTCTTCTCAAGATATTATGTTCTTGTGGAACATGAACATTGTATTTGAACATCTTATCTGGTGTAGGTACCCAACAAAGACTGAGCAGTATCATTTCTTCCGTTACTACTTAAAACCCCACCAACCAAATGAGGTATGCAGCTATTTTCAATTCAATTCATCTCAACTCTCCACCATTTGTTTTTTATAAATCCAAGGTTATCTTGGATTCACTGTCAAAATGCGATTAAACCTACTTCTTAGTGGAGTTCACTAAATTAGTTATTTTAACTGCTATATTTTCATTTGATCCTTCCCTTAGTTGAACAACACCAAACCAAATTTTGATGTCTGAGAAGCAAATTTGCTTCAGTTCTTCAATTTTCCATTTCTCCAATCCATTCTTGATTCTTTATTTTCAAATTGGAGAAATATACAAGTAAACACAGAGAATGGTTGGCTCATAGAATGTCTCGAGCAGTTCTCTTTGAATGGTTAACTATTCGAGTTAACATCTCGAACCTTAACACTTGCTACTTCTTGGTTACGAATGGTTGACTTAACCATTCGTTCCACTTTACTTCGAAAGGTAGGTCATTCCACCATTCAACATTTGCAACCTTTCGGTCCTGCAATCTTCTGTTCTTCGACTCTTATGATCTTCTATCCTTCAAAGTTTCTTTCTAGTTGTCTGAGAAGTAACCATTTGGGTTACTGTTTGATTTAACTATCTGAAGCATAACTATCCGGACTAGTTATTCAGACTATTCGAAACTAAGAATAGGATTCCCAAGTCTAGAAGATAAAATAAATTGGGGACTAAAATTCCTAATTGTTTTCTACTTTCTCTTCTCTAAAATAAATATGGAGAATTTATTTGGTTAGTAAATTCAAAACACCTTGTATTGTTCTAGGTGAAAACTGATAAGGAATTCAAAATCTCGTGCCATTCTGTGCTAAACTTTTGACATTATATCGACGCATCTTACAAATGTTGCATCACATAAATGGAATGAATAATGCTAAGAAGTTGTGAAATTTTCATGGCAGGTATCTGAGGAGGACCTTGAAGCTCTTTATGTCGAGACCAACACTTACATGTTAGCATCACATTTGTGTTGGGGTCTGTGGGGTCTAATCCAGGTATATAGTATTTCAAGCTTTCAAATTTCAAGTTCAACACTATGGAAAGTGAACTGAAAAGAATCTTTTTTTTTCTTTCTTTAAACGTTGGCAGGCAAAGATTTCTCCGATTGATTTTGATTATCTTGGTTATTTCTTCTGGCGTTACACCGAATACAAAAAGCAAAAGGAAAAGTGCTTCACAACAGCAAAAGCCTACCTCGCAAAATCTAAGGGGATATTCCATTAGGTTCCATGCACTCTTAAATGTTGTTCAAATGTAGTACTCTTATAGCCCTCAATCTATGCCTTTTCTCCTTTACACTTTAGGAACCATATGTATATGATCATGAACTGGAAAAGAAAAGAGTAATTCTTTACTATAGCAGAGAACAATATTGCCTTTTCTTATCATGTAAAGGAAATGCAGTTCTCAGCACATATGCATAATACAACAACATTCTGGTTATTATATATTTGAAACACATCATTTTCTCTTGGGACTTTGGATTTCAAAAGATACAAGAGCTGGGCTGTGTATGTTTATATATTTGAAATGCAGGAGTCTAGAAGGCAAAATGAAGCATTTTTTAGTCTACCTAATACCTAACAGTACATGCTAACTTCATTATATGCTACAAGAGAGGCAGACAGGCACGTACATTGACATTGGGCCAATTTCAATTTCTCTAAGCTTTTGTGATTGCTCTTCGGCCTCTTCCTATGCCATGGCTCATGAATGGAAACAAATGAAGAGAAAAGAAGCCTATGTGGCATCGACAGTTGGAAAAAACTAGTTACAAAATTCAAGTTTGAAGAACCTGGCAGTGAACAATGTGGCTTTTGAGGCGGCTCCTACCAGCAAGGCTTGACAGGAAGTTTGTCACCATGGTCTTAAACTGTCCTTTCCCACCAATAGTTTCCCACAAGTGCTCGGAAGTTGCAGCCCCGGCATCATCACATTTCGCTACATCGACAAGCGAAATACTCATGTTGTTTCTGATAATGCACAGTTTCCCGCTGAGAGGGAGGAGCGCTGCTGCCTCCAAAGCCTTGGAGGTTCCCAAATGCATCCTGCTATCAATATGCTTGCTCCAAGAATTTGTCGCTTCGTCGTATACTCGAAGTTTGCAACCATCTCTACAGTCCAAAGCATAAAGCCGCCCATTCAGCGTAGTGCTTGGGTTCCTCCAGCCCGTAACCATTCCATCATAAACAGTGTTCCAGGTATCAGTTTCTGGTTGATAAACCTCACTCATAACCTGTCGGTGAGTACCTAGGCCTTTCAAGTACCATTTTCCTTGGTAAACAACTCCAATGAAGGGTACCATTGCTGTGCTCATATCAGAAATTAAGGACCATCTATTCTTGTTTGGATCATAAACCTCAGCTGATCTCAGAGACCCGTGAACTCCCTCATTCTCTCCGCCAGCAACATACAAACAGTTATTTATTACACAAAAGCCAAAAAAATGTCGCCTTCGAAGCATATCAGGGGCACGGTGCCATTTATTAGTCCGTGCACTATAAAAGATCACTCTTCTCATGGAACCCTTAACAGGGTCCTTGCCACCAAACAAATAGAGATGACAACCACTAAGAACAGCACATCCAAAACCAAGGGCTTCAGAGTATTCTTTGGGCACGGGAGGGAGTGGCTGCCACAGCTGGTATATGGGATCAAAGGCATGCCAAGATACCTTACCATCTCGGTCTCTCTTGATTACGTATATCCATTCTTCAGCAATTTCAAGTTTCTTTCTAAGTGAGTAATAGAAGTTACCAGCTAGCAGACGGTACCATCTTTTACAGACTAAACGAAGCTTGCAATGCTCAATCCTAGGGACTCGAATTAAGCATGCAATGGCAAGATCATCAGGAAGTCCGGGGAGAAGAGGGGACTGGGTTCGGTTTTTGTCGCGCGGTGGTTTCTGTCTTGTAGGATGAATAGAAGGTTTAATAGCTGGCTGAAGACAAAGCTTTGTCCCAGGCACATACCTTTTAGCACCAGCAACTGTTTTGAGCCCAGCATCTACTCTACAGAGACAAGCTGTTGTGTCAACCTGAAAGACGAAATGGCAGGGCAGTCTATTTCTCAGTCGCTCTTTCCACACGGCACAGCCTCTATATGTGACTATTTCATGAAAACATCAACATTTACAATGACCCATGCAACAGGCAGTAAGCAAAATCAACAAGACCGATAGAAACTCCAATAAATGCTAGTGCAGTGAAAGACAGGACCTAAAATGGACCACGTTGACTTACAATTTAAATTAAAGTGTTCTGGACCGTCATGTATCTCTAGACCCCCCCAACTCCTTAACTGGAAATCCGATACTTAGAACCCATGTTACTCAATCTTAAGTCTTAACTACACCCCAATTCATCTGCCCTATTGCAGCCATGCCACATAACAGTCAGCTTGCATATAAGAAACACCAAGAACTAAAGCTATTACATGGCCCATCACTAACACACTTTCAAGCTTGTCAATTTCACAAAAAGAAGCATGATAAGCATAGTGAACTAACAAAGAAGAGCCATGAAAAGAGGAAGCGTATAGCATCATACATGATTGAAAATTTCTGGGCTTTGGGAAGGTTTCCAATCTCCCCCACAGACTGGCAAATGAAAACAACTATATATATAAGCTGGCGTAAACCAGTCATAATAGAGAGTGTTAATTAGTGTTGACCCAAGGAAAGAATAAGAAAACCGATCAGTTGCTGAAAACCGATGAATTGCTAAATTTAGAGTAGACATCAATTAAACCAATGATGACTCGAGACAAAAAGATGCGAACTTAGGTTGTATATACTAAATGTAAGGAATAACACAAGTCATAGGCATCCAAACAACCAAACATGTAAGCACAGCCATGAACATAAATTATAAAGCTTTACCAGAGGAGGCTGAATAACTCTATCCATTCTTGAACGATCAGTCATTTCAACAAATCCAATCCAACTTTATCAACATTAATGTATCTTCAAGGCCAAGTTCAAAATTTGAATTTCCAGCTAGACCATCAGGTCCTGCAAAAGATGAACACTCTTCAAGATCAATGAAATATGAATTCCAACATCAGAAGTTCAGAAATCAACCAAAAAATTTTGAAAAGTAAAAACCCCACCTTGGAAGCATTAATCAGAAAGTAAGATCAGGGTCATTGACTTCAAGAGTCTTAACACTTGAAGCTAAAGCAGAGAGAACTCAGCACTGAAATTGAGCACCAATTGAATCAAAGTGTGAAGAAAGGTGTTTAAAATTCAGCAATCAGCAGTCCCCAGAATACTGAAAACACGCACCCCAAAATCAGAAACCCAGATCACAAAATTGCCAAGAACCAAAATATGAAGAGCAGAAAACCCCAAATCCCCAAGTCTTATCTTTAAAAAGGAACCCTAGAACCCCAAATGCGAGACAGCAAGAAATGGGTGCAAAAAAGAGAAAAGCACTGAGGAAATAGATAGAGACTCCTCTCCCATCCACCATGAAAATCCCCCTCAGTGGAACTCCGGGCCCATAAAAGAGCCCTAATAGCACAATCTACCAAGCACAACAGTGTGTTTAACAAGAGACCAAACACTCCACAGAAAGCACACCTAAAACCATCAACACTTCAACAGTTCCTTTGATTACACACCACTCACGTACAAATATATACCCATGAAAAAAAGAGAAAACTGAAACAATAATAAAAGAAAACTATGGTTTGATTGAAAGTCGAAATCTTTAGGCGTTGGAAGGGGAGAAAAAAAAAAGTAGAGTGCCAAATTTTGAGATTTGGAGGTGACTACTGTTGAAGGAAAGAGATATAAAGCATAAATTTATACGAGACAGTAGCCTGACTCATTTCAATATTTAAATATTAAACTTCAGCGAACTCCTGTTGTTAATTCAGTAATCACAAAATTATATTACAAATCATAAGTTGTATTTTCTACTTAGATTTTTAAATCATATTTTCTAAATTTTCATATTAGCACGATAGGTAGAGCTGTCAAAAATGGGTTTTACCCGTCGGGTCGACCCGTCCCATACCGCCATAGGTAGGGGACGGGTTCTTCAAATTTTGATCCGTTAGGAGGCAGGCTTTTTAGCTCGACCCGCCTGGGTCACGGGTCCAGACGGGGCGGGTCAAGCGGGTCACGGGTTTAGCCCGCGACCTGCTAATACATATATATTTAGTATTTAATACATATTATTTTTTTTGTTATTTTGGTTTGTGTAATTGTGTTAGTGTGTTATAACTTATATGATTATAGATTTATAGGAATACAATACTAGGTAGTGTTAATGTGTTAGTGTACTGTACGATTCTTCTTTTTTTTTTTGAAGGATATTGTACAGTGATTTTTTTTTAAAATTAACACAGTGAAAAAATTGATTGGCGGGCTAACCCGCCCCGCCAGCGGGCTTTGACATAGCGGGGCGGGCCGACCACATTCCATGCCCGCTAAGAGGCGGGCTTTATAGCCCGTCCCGCTAAGAGGCGGGCTTTTTAGCCCGTCCCGCTACGAGGACGGGCTTTGGTGTGTTTTGGCCCGTCCCGTCCCGCGAGACCGTTTTGACAGCTCTAACGATAGGCTACTTTTTCATACGGGTCTCAATACAAGTGTCTACATAAGATTTTGTGTGGATCTCAATATAAGTGTCTACCTAAAATTTTGCGTTGAGAGTAGAAAATAAGAGTACATGTAATACTTTTCAATTATAAGTTTGATTCAAAAGGAGTGTCTTGTTAACTTTTTTGGTATGTCTGTTAATTATAAACAATCTAAGTTAATTTATCACCTTGTGATTCTTTATCGACTAGGTCCCAATGCAGGAATTTACACAATACATATCTTCCCTGCGAAATTTATATATATATATATATATATATATATATATATATATATATATATATATATCTACAAAGATTGTATTTGTAATCTGGAAGATTACAACTCCAACACACACAAGCTTAGGCTTACACCTTGTGATTCTTTATCGACTAGGTCCCAATGCAAGAATTTACACAATACATATCTTCCCTGCGAAATTTTCTCATCGTTCAAAAAAAAAAAAAAGATTAAATGACACTTGTTCGAATTGTATGTGATTCTGATTGTTTTGTTTTCTTAAGGTTTGGTATTTATAATTTTATCCTGAACAAACATTTATATAGCAATTGCGAGATTTTTCATAAATCAAAACATTTGATTTTATAGAAGAGATAAATTGTATAATTGTACGTTTAATGTTGGGAAATAATAAATCAAAGTCGATTTAATATCCCAAAAGTTATATATATATATATATATATATATATATATATATATATATATATATATATATAAAGATTGTATTTGTAATCTAGAAGATTACAACTCCAACACACACAAGCTTAGGCTTAGATCAATTCAATAAGTCTTTAAAAGACTATTGTATAAATAGTGGGGCAAATCCTCTTCCCAAATCAATGTGG